GCCCCCGCCCCGCCAAACGCGGACTTGTCCGCAGACGCTGAGTAACGTGGGCCAGATATACATGGGAGGGAGATGGGAGCAGGGCACGTGGACCAGAAATACTTCCTAGAAACAGCAAGTAGCTGCTCAACCCTGCCTGAACTTTCCTGTAAACACTGTGCACTGACAGACGGCATCCCTGCTGGGTGGATCCCGCACCTCCTAGAGGGAATGGCACTTCTTGTTTTTAATTAGCCAGGGGAAACGTGACTTAAAACTATCTGTTTGGCAAGTCGGTGCAAGAGACTGACTCCTGGGAGGCTTCAGGGAGACGGAGGGAAGAGCTCCGCGGGGGCAGGTAGCGCGTGTGCTGGGTTTGTTTTCTGAATGAAACGCTGGCCGGGGACTGAAAAGAATACAGCTTCTCCCTCAGTCCGCGGCGTAGTTACTGCAGACAGCTCCAGACAGGACATGGCTCTGAAGACGCCCTCCGCGGAATGCTCTCCTGCTCCAGGCTTTTAAACAACTGTCCTGGGGAGAGGAAGGTTTTACGTGTCCAAATACAGCTTGACAAATGGCACTTTGGAACTGGGCTTTCTGATGACAACACGTTCGATTTCTGACAAAGCCTCTCGCACGCTGCCCCTGGAGGGAAGTCCTAAGTAAAACTCAAACCCGCCTTAAAGTGAGGCTCTAGAGGACTTGCACCCTGAGACCGCAGCATGGCATCCGCCGGAGTCGCTATCACCTTGCTCCTGTGGGCTCACCTACTCCTGGAGCTTTGGCCAGGAGGTCGCGCAGCGGATACCCCCTACCCCCGGTTACGTCTATCACATAAAGGTAGGTTACCTTTTCAGATCCTTTTGTTAAAAAAAAAAAAAATGTAAAAGTATGTAGACATTTAACTCAGGTTCATGGTCTGCCAAAACCTTTAAAGTGCACCTAAAACATTTTATTGCAAAACTCACCTAAAAGTCTAAGTACCTGTAATCAACAGGGTATACTTACCTCATCTGAAAATAGTGCAAAATCGCAGGTCAACTTACAGATGTTATTTCTGTCTTGTAAATATTAAGTACACTCACTAGTGGAAAGAACAGAAGAACCTAGAAAACAGGTTGCAAAAGCCTCAAGAGGCTGAGTCCATCAAGTTAGCATCAGGTATTGAAATACCAATGCATGCATAATGGACAACAGGACTACTGGGAAAAGGCTTTAGAAATAGAGGTACAATTTGTTTTTTGTTGAGGATGACAGCAGTCCTCAGAAGAAAAATGACGCCCTGCCATGATAACAGAATCCTCATCATATATTTTAAATGACTAACAACTAATATAAATTACCTTTCTGGTTGACTTCGTTACTAAAATATGTGTATGTGTGCAAAACAAAAAATGGACTTTACCTACAATCATTGTAAACTGATGCATCAATTAAAGTATTAGAATTCACTAACATCCATTCTTTCTTAATGCAAATACACCTTGCTTTACTGAAGCTCTAACAGAGTGTTTAAATATTTCATCCTGCAATTATGTCTTGTAAAGCAACATCATACTCATAAATAAATGATCAAAAGATAGGATTTGCCTGGGGCTCAGTAAAAGCCAGTCAAGAATAGGTTTGGTGATTCCTCCTGTAAACAAACAAACAACAAATGAAACCCAGGCTCTGAGAGAGTGACTTTTGCTGACTTAAAAGAAATTTGGGATCAATTACCAGGAAAGACCTATGTATTATTACGAACCATTGAAGGAGATAACAGATACAATAATGAGGATTGCATAAAAACCATTTATCACTTGTGTAAGCTTTTAAATTATCCCCAACAATGGAAAGAATAGAAGCCCTGTATTTTCCAAATAAAGGTAAAATATTTACCAGAAGGTGGAACAAAAAGAAAGGCCTCAAACTTATGTAACATGAATGGTCTTTTTTTTCTTTTTTATTGGACAATGGTTAGGGTGATGGTGACTATAGAATTTTCTCATTATTATAATGGTTAAAACTATGGATATTTTCTTATTTTAAATAAATTTCCTATAACCTATAAATAATGTAAATTTAAGAAACAGTGACACTAAAAAGTATTTAAAATGTAATATCCAGCATTAACAAAATCTTTTGATTTGGAAAGATGTATCATGATATTTATTTCCAAGAAGTATGATCAAATATATCAAGACCTGAAAATTTGAGGTGATGGGATATGGACAAATGAAGATGACAAAAAATAAGGGTAAAAGATTGATTGCTTTTCTTATGTAAACATGTGGATAAGCTGCCAGTTTTGTCCAGCAACCATTCTGTTGTGGCTAATATTAACCTTTTATACCTCATTACAAAGGTACTTGGGTTTTGGGACCTAAATATCAATATATTTTCCAAGGTACCTCATTTGATATTTCATAGGAGAGCTTGTAATTTGACCATACCATATCAAAACTGTGACAAAAATAATGCATTATATTGTTACCAAGCTATTTTTTATGATGTATCTCTTAAATAAATACATGTAATTGATTTTATGAGTTATATCATATAGTGTGGGAGTAGGACTGCTGCTATCTATGTGTGTATTAGACTGAAAACTCCCAAAAGATTTCCCTTTGGTTTTTCTCAACCTTAAGCTTTAATAGAACTCACTGAAAATGCACAATATTATACTTTTATAAAAGACTGTATAGAATTACCTACAAATAGAATGTTCTTACTTGTGCCATTTAGTTAGCACCCTCAGGTATGATATCACACTGGAGATGCAACCTGAAACAGCAAATGCATGCGGAACCACAGGTGCCTCAGAGAAAAGTAAAACACATGCAGAGTATCAGAGCAAGAGTACTCAGTCTAGTACAATAAACAGTTCATTTACCTCTCTGCATTCTGGATTTAGTAGACATTTCAGAGGTATTAAAAAAAACTAGGAATAGTCAATTTCAGATTAATCTTATGCTGTCTTGAATGATGTCAGTAATGGTGAATTTCTAGTAGTGAGTGAGTTTAGATGATTGGAATTATAAACGAGTGCATAGTCTTTCAATTTAAAATGCACAGAGTATATGTGACATAGCACCTCTGCCATGTTCTCTGACCTCAGCAGGGTAATCCAGAAGCTCCCTAGAGGTGGTCTATTGGACTAACCCAATAGTTCTTTTCATAACCATGGTTTGGCCATATGGGAGAAAAGCAATCACTTTTTCTTCTATCTTCCACTTTCAAGATGGCATTTGAGAACAAAAATGTCTCTTCTCAGGAGGAGAAAGTTTAAGTGTCATATAAAAACTTGAGCTAATTTATATAAAAGGTGTTCAAAAATATGTCCAGAGAATTCCCCTTTTTCTTTCTCTTTCTTTCTCCTCTGCTTCTATAAATGACATGTTCTTAAATAGAGCTTGAGAGAAGGGTCAGTAAGAGTATAGAAGTGAAAAGGCAGAAATGGAAGAAGATAAAGTCAAAAGATAGTATGAAATATCCAGCATCTTTTATCCTATTTCCCACTGCCTTCCTCCTGCAATGGGATTATATTAAATTCTTCTCTCTTCTTGCTGGATATCCCAACTCTCCTTGGTATTAAGAAAATATGCTAACTTAGGGGTGAAAGTCAAGATAATTACTCTTGTTCAGGTAATACATATATTTCTTAATGTATAAGAACATAATAAATTGAGTTAACCAATAAAATATAGCTATGATTAAAATAGCAAGATGCTGTCCTGCTCTGAAATGAATTGTATTCAAGCTTTGATTTGAGACTGACTATATCAGGGAAATTTTTAAAAGTTCATGAATAGTTATGCATTATAGGTAACTTTAAGCTAAAGAGGATAATACTCTTGTGATTAATACTAAGTTATAGTATTCTACTCCAAAAGTTTTCCTGAAAAATAGCTGTGATCCTCATGCTAGATCAAGGAAAGTGATTGAAAGAAAAGTCCTGGTTGGATTCAGACACTTCCCTCCATTGATATCTGTTCTCTTCTTATCTTTGACCGTCCTGTATTAATGAAGTTTCAGGGAAGACAAAAATAACCTTCTTGATAAAGGAGTTCAAAGAAGAAAAAAAAAATGAGCAAAGACTTATGTCAAAGAAGAAATCCCAGGGTATGTGGAAAGCACTAATCAAGGGAGGATTCAATTAAGGAAATTCAATCATGGGGGTGTGGCAGATGGGGTAGGTGTTCAGTTGCCATAAGGAAGGATGCAATTGTAGGCACCAAAAAAAGGACTGCTTAAGCAGAGAATGTTCTGGGATGTTTGGTCAAGAGACAGTTAAATAAAAGCATCATTGTGACAGAAGATCATTCCTTAAATATGATTACATTATAAATGAAAATTTAAGTATTGAATCCATATACATAAAATGGTCAATAGAATGTTAATTAGTGTATTTGTATCTGGGTTCTGAAACTATTTAAGTACAGACTTGTAGTAGTTCAGAGAACTCAGGATTTGAAGTCAGAGTTCTCTACTCTAGCTTTAGCTCTCCCACTTATAGTAATAATAATTACTATAAGGGCTTGTGCCTCAATTTCCTCAATTGAAAAACAGAGGTAGAATGATGTTTTCCCAATATATTTCACTGAGCTTTGAGAGGATCAAATGAAAGAATGTTTATCAATGTACTTTAAAACCTAAATATATACTTACATTATTAATATTTCCTGAAGACAAATATAAATTGACAATATTGGAAGAAAACATATCCTAAGGAGAGTTGCCCTTGGAAATCACTTTTGAGTTCAGATTTCATTAAATGATAATCTGATGCTAATAGAGGAGAAAGAAGTTGATCTTAAATAGCCTAAGAATGTATGTTTTTTTTCCTGATTATAGTCATTCTGAATTCTATCTTTCATGCCTTCAGCCTGTAGTTATAACACCTTAGAAGATCATTACATAATCTCTGCACTTTACAATAATCACAGGCCATAAGTTTTGCTATTAAAGTATAGAT